ACTCACTTGGTAGCCCAGGCTGGCCTCAAACTCACAGAGATCTGCCTGGCTCTGCCTCCCGAGTGCTGGGATTAAAGGCGTGTGCCACCACCGATGGGCAAGAAACCCTGTCTTGATAAACAACAATTAAAAGAGGAAAATAGCCCAAAACACAGCTTGGCCAACGGTCCTCACCCAGGGATAGTTCTGCACCCTGGGATTTTACATAACTACATTTTTCCCCCTACATTTTTAGATGCAGCAATTAGAGACAAAGATGTGCCTGGTGTCTGGTGGTATGGAACAGGTGTCACCATCCGTGTGGAGAGTCCCCACAGACTCGTAGGACTCCTGTTGGTGGTGCTGTGGGAGGTTCTGGAAGTTTCACGGGGTGGGGCCTAGACCAAGGACGCAGGCCACGCCACGGGAGGTGGGTCGTTGGGAGTAAGATGACACCCAGGCCCCTTCCAGAAGCGGTTGTCACATAGCGTCAGGGGATGCTGAGCAACCGTGGATGGGGCGCTCATTTCAGTCCTGCCAGGCATTTGTCACCTCTGTGAGACTCCACAGGGCTCAGATGGTTTGGTGGTGGCTGTGGAACAGTGCCCAGCAGGCTCATGCCCACGTCAGGCCTGCGACCGACCGGAAGCTGGCAGTTGCTAAACCAGGAGCCTGAGCAGGGGGACTGTCAGGAGCTTAAACCCAACCTGAGCTATGAAGTGAGTTCCAGGCCAGCCTGAGACACCACGGGACACCTTGTCTCAGACAGACAGACAGACAGACAGACGGCTCAACAGATAAAGAGCTCTCCCCACAAGCCTGGCCACCTCAGCTCCATCTCCAGGACTGTCTAAAGGCAGAAGGAGACAACTGCGGCCTCATTCTCTGACCTCTGCACATGGACTGTGGTATGTGTACACACACATGCACACACACGCACACACACATGCACAACCACACACATGCACACATGCCCAAACACACACACACACACACACACACACACACACACGCACTTGCACACACACGCACACACACAGGCACACATGCCCAAGCGCACACACACAAGCACTTGCACACACATGCACACACACAGAAGAAGACTAAGAGAGGAAAATAGAGAATAGCTAATAGTCTCTGCCAGGTGGGTCTGGGTTTGGACCTCACTGAAGAGAGAGGCAGCAGTTAGCCTCAGATAACACCAGCCTATGGCCTGGAGGGATGGCTCTGTGGATGGAGCTCTTGCAGCTAAGCATGAGGACCAGAGTTCGGATCCCCAGAACCCATGTAAACACAGCAGAGCCGGGGGCCTGGAGCATTGGCTAGAACCGCTGTACTGGAGAGCTCTGGTTTCAACCGGGGGACTCCTTCTCAGTGCGTAAGGTACAGAGTGACGAGGAAGACACCTAAAGGCCCTAAACTTAGCTCCAGTCTCAGGGGTCCAGCTACTTGGAGACACAGAGCAAAGCAACTGACCCCTTCTCCCTTCCCCGCAGTTACAAACCCCGGCGTGGGCGCTGTAACATAAAGCTGCTCCGGCTGTCAGGCGTCTACGCTCTCATCCTTTATTTCCACGATGACATGTGTGCCCATCCACATGTAAGTGTACACACACACACACACACACACACACACACACGGAGGAGAGGCTGGAGAGGCAGCTCAGCGGTTAAGAGCCCTGGCTGCTCTTGTTAGGATTCTGGCACTCCAGCTGCATGGCCACACACGTGCAGTTCAGTAGCTAAGTAAGGGGTCTTACGTCATTGGTGCACTGCGTGATCACACAAAAGTGCATAGCGCGGTCATGCAATCAGCGCCATTTGTGGCGGAGCTCCATAGCCCACCTGCGCATGTGCAAGGGAATCCTTAAAAAGCCGGACACAGACTCCTCCCCTCTCTTCTCTCTGTTCCCTCCTCCCCCCGACTCTCCCCCCCCCCCCAAGCTTGGTTACTCTCTTCCATCCCCCTCCTCCTAATGAAGCTCTGACACTGGGTTTTGTCATGTCTCATGACCTTTTCACCCGGTAACAGCACCGCTATATATTTAAAACAACATTGGCGCCGTGAGGAGACAGGCTCTCCTGGCGCTCTGCGTCTGGGACCCTGTACCGAGGTTTATTGGACCTACGCCTGCCCACTCTGCGGTTTTCATTTGCCCAGCAGCCAGGACTGCTCCGCATTGGTGAGTTTTCCCTTTCCAATCCCTCGCCATTTCCAGTAGCCGGAGATATATTTCTTGTGCTGGACCCCTCCCCTCCGAGGGGGCGTCCCCGGGCTGTGTACTACAACACATTCTCTCTTGACAAAGTATTGAATGCTGTCTGAACTCCCAGGGGGTCCTCTGGTACGTATGCCCTCTCAGCCCTTGCCCCTCCCGTGAGGACGGGTTGGATAACTTGTGCTGATGCTGGTCCACAGATTACCTGCCCTCGGGGATGCCCAGGATGGGAGTCTGGGATCCCATTTGTTATTTTAATTTTTTATTTTTTTCTCTCAGCTGCAGTCAGGGGACATGGAGGCTTCCTCCTCTTGGTCCCACTCCTCTGAGAAATGCCTTAAATATACCAATAAATATGGCCACACAATGACTGCTTGGACCCCGATATTTCACGGGAATTATCTAACTTCGGCCGCGAACGGGCAAATGAAAAGCGTTACCTTATCCCCATGCTTTTACCTAAGCTCTGAACCCTCCCTTTCTGATTCTCTCTCTCCTGACCACGTCCATTCCTAAATCTGAGTAATCTCCGACTCCAAACAATCTCTGCCTATCTGGCCTCTGCTCTGTTCTCCGGTACTGGGTGGGCCACCAAGCACGGACAGGTCTGGAAGCAGCTAGGACACATGCAAATGAGTTTACGATCAGGACCCACATTGGGATCATAATAATCCGGAAGGCTCTCTAGCCAGAGATCAGCTTACAGCCTGCCTCCTGGGGGTCTTCCTAAAGCTGCCCTCAAGCCAGCAGACTATCAAAAAAAAAAAAAAAGTAATTCAAGACACGGAATAAAATCCATCTCTTGTCCCCCAGAGCTCCCTGACATTAGGGATAAACTTAAGCATCTGGAGAGCAAGGCTCCTGACCCCAAAGGTGGAAGTTTCGGCTGCGGCATTTAAGGTGTGCCATGAGAGAAATGAGAAAGCCCAAGAACAGAGTTGCCAAATGCTGGCCCACGCCATCCGAGCGGCTGCATAAGGGCTTCCGGGTCCCTGTTTTAGAAGGCCATGCGGTTTGTGTGTGCCCTGCTGGAGTATCAACTGAGCCACCTAGAGAGATAACTGGTCAGCTGACTGCCCCCGTACACCTTGTGGCATGGGGACATCCAACTAAGACCTCCAGCAGACCTCCTAGGCCTGGCCACGGCTCACAGGGAACCCAGGATGCAGCATGGAGCGATCTGTTTCCTTCCTATTGGACACGGAGCCACTTAATCAGTCCTGAGAGAGTTTTGGGGTCCTACCTCTCCTTCTCATTTCCCTATTGTTGGGGTAGGGGACAGACAGCCTTATCCACCTCCCCAGACTTAATTGTACTTTCAGGGATACCTAACAGGAGGAGATTTTCCAGCTAAGTTAGGAGCTTTCATTTCATTTGCTCCCTCCATGTGCCTCACTCCAGACTGGTCAGCAGTGTCTCTTCTCCTCCTCATGCACAGGGACACAGACAGGGCCCTGCTCTCTCTCAACTTCCAGAGGACACCAGGATCCACTGCCTTGTCACCAACTCCAGAAGAATGAGGACTCACCCCACAAGCTTTTCCCTTCCTGGTTCCCTCTTCTAATTAACTACTCAGCTAATTGTTACAGGATCACCATAGAGCTGGAGTCCAAGGACCATCAAGTATACCCAGGTGGTGAGGAACAGTAACAGTCAAAAGGTATTTACACCCCCAGACCCAGAAGTGTCTGGGCTCTGCAAACAACACAGACTTTAGTATAACCATCTATTACTGTTAAATTCTCTCAGCAACTGATCACCTGTGTCTCCTGGATAAGGAAACAGGTGTCTTAAAATAATCTGTCTCTGATAAGGCTTATCTCAGGTAAAAATTAAAAACATGTTCCAATCTCTCTCTCTCTCTCTCTCTCTCTCTCTCTCTCTCTCTCTCTCACACCAATGTAAGCAGAGTGCTAAACACTTAACACTACAATATCATGGTCACCAGCCCAAGACTTTAATTTTCTTTTTTTTTAAATTTTTTAATTTTTATTTTATTGGTGTTTTGCCTGTATGTATGTCTGTGTGAGGGTGTGTTAGATCTCTGGAGTTACAGACAGTTGTGAGCTGCCATGTGGGTGCTGGGAATTGAACCCAGGACCTCTGGAAGAGCAGTCAGTGCTCTTAACCACTGAACCATCTCTCCAGCCCCGACTTTAATTTTCTCATGGCTGCTTCTTAATATGTTCAAAATTTTTCTGAGCTCCAGAAAATCTACCTGGACAGGTTAGCGAGCTCTGGAACCAGCTTGAATCCACCTGGACAGCAACTTGTCAGACGACTCCCAAAGCAGCAGACGACCCCAGGACACCTGTCTACCTCCAAAGCCCCCTTCTCTACCCCCCTAAGAGTCAACCGATGCCCACCAAGTCAGCTGGAAGCAGTTTTTCGGGAGAAATGACGCCCCTATTCCTTGTTCACCTGCTTTTTTTATAATAAGCAAAAAGCCTGGAATGTTAGGATTCTGCCACTCCAGCTGCATGACTGCACACACGCAGTTCAGGAGCTAGACAAGGGGTCTTACGTCATCAGTGCGCTGCATGATGGCACAAATGCATGCAGCACGGTCACACCATCAGTGCATGCCTGGCGTAGCTCCATAGCCCACCTGCGCATGTGCAGGGGGATCCTTAAAAAAGCCGGACACAGACCCCTCTCCTCTCTTCTCTCCGTTCTCTCCCCCCTCCCCCCTCTCTGG